GTCTGATAGATACCCACCCTAACTCATCCAGTCTGATAGATACCCACCCTAACTCATCCAGTCTGATATATACCCACCCTAACTCATCCAGTCTGATAGATACCCACCCTAACTCATCCAGTCTGATAGATACCCACCCTAACTCATCAAGTCTGATAGATACCCACCCTAACTCATCCAGTCTGATAGATACCCACCCTAACTCATCCAGGGGATGTTTTACAGGGAGGGTTGTCTGGGTGGGGAATGACTAATGTGTGAGTTTCCCTGCTGGTCCTGTTTTTTGTTACACATCCATGGGCTTATCAACATTAAAGATAACAATTACATCATTAATATAACATTCCTTTCTGGAAAACAATGGCAACGCTAGCTATTCTCTCTTGGAATTGGAAAGGCTTAAATTATCCTATCAAACGTTCCATTCTTGATTTTCTAGCAGGAAACCATGTTGATATAGCAGTGCTCCAAGAAACACACTTGCTCCTTAAGGATTTTGATTTGATTTGATTTATTAGGATCCCCATTAGCCAACGCCAATGGCGACAGCTGGTCTTACTGGGGTCCGACATATAACGAAAAAGACATTACAGACAAAAGACTTTACAATTTACATACATTTAAAAACATGAACATGTAGTGTGTGTGTATCTATCAGTTACACTTACATGTCAGTACATACACACAACAAGTAGGTCACATGGGGGAGAGGTGTTGTGCCGTGAGGTGCTGCTTTATTCGTTTTTTAAAACCAGGTTTGCTGTTCACTTGCGCTATATAAGATGGAAGGGAGTTCCATGCACTCATGGCTCTGTATGATACTGTACGTTTCCTTGAATTTGTTCTGGACCTGGGGACTGTGAAAAGAGCCCTGGTGGCATGTCTGGTGGGGTAAGTGTGTATGTCAGTCAGTGCTGTGTGTAAGTTGACTATGCACACAATTTGGATTTTCCGAAACACACAAGAAGTGACGCAGTCAGTCTTTCCTCGACTCTTAGCCAAGAGAGACTGGCATGCATAATATTAACATTAGCCCTCTGATTACAATGAAGAGCAAGACATGCCACTCTGTTCTGGGCCAGCTGCAGCTTAACTAGGTCTTTCTTTGCAGCACTTGACCATATTACTGGACAATAATCAAGATAAGATAAAACTAGAGTCTGCTGGACTTGCTTTGTGGAGTGTGGTGTCAAAAAAGCAGAGCATCTCTTTATTACGGACAGGCCTCTCCCCATCTTTACAACCATTGAATCTATATGTGTTGACCATGACAGTTTACAATCTTAGGTAAAGGCAAGTAATTTAGTCTCCTCAACTTCTTCAACAAGTTACCAGACTCAGCTGAGGTTACTGGCCACCCCATTCCAAAACAGACTGCAACTCTTTGTTAAGGTTTTCAGTGACATCATTAGCTGTGGTTGCTGATGTGTATATGGTTGAATCATCAGCATACATGGACACCCATGCTTTGTTTAATGTCAGTGGCAGGTCATTGGTAAAAATAGAAAAGAGTAGAGGGCCTAGAGAGCTGCCCTGCGGTACACCACACTTTACATGTTAGAGAAGCTTCCCTTAGAGAAAACCCTCTGAGTTATATTAAATAGATAGCTCTGAATCCACGATATGGAGGTTGAAGAGGTTGAAAAGCCATAACACATACGTTTTTGCAACAACAGGTTATGGTCAATAATATCAAAGGCTGCACTGAAATTTAACAGTACAGCTCCCACAATCTTCCTATTATCAATTTCTTTCAACCAATCGTCAGTAATTTGTGTCAGTGCAGTACATGTTGAGTGCCCTTCCCTATAAGCATGTTGAAAGTCTGTTGTTAATTTGTTTACAGAGAAGTAGCATTTAATTTGGTCCTTCCGTTTTTTCCAAACAGTTTGCCAAGAGCTGGCAGCAAGCTGATAGGTCTGCTGTTTGAACTAGTAAAGGCCACTTTACCGCTCTTGGGTAGCGGAATTACTTTGGCTTCCCTCCAGGCCTGAGGACAAAGACTTTCCCCTAGGCTCAGATTAAAGATATGACAGATAGGATTAGCTATAGAGTCAGCTACCATCCTCAGTAGCTTTCCATCTAAGTTGTCAATGCCAGGAGGTTTGTCATTATTGATCGATAACAATAGTTTTTCCACCTCTCCCACACTAACTTTACACAATTATTTTCTACATCATCCACATAGCCCCAATCAAAAAAAAATAGCCCCAAACAAAACTAAAGGTGTAATCATAATGGCAGAAGAAACTCAAAATAATACATGAGAAACTCAAAATAATACATGAGAAACTCAAAATAATACATGAGAAACTCAAAATAATACATGAGAAACTCAAAATAATACATGACAAACTCAAAATAATACATGAGAAACTCAAAATAATACATGAGAAACTCAAAATAATACATGAGAAACTCAAAATAATACATGAGAAACTCAAAATAATACATAAGAAACTCAAAATAATACATGAGAAACTCAAAATAATACATGAGAAACTCAAAATAATACATGAGAAACTCAAAAGAATACATGAGAAACTCAAAATAATACATGAGAAACTCAAAATAATACATGAGAAACTCAAAATAATACATGAGAAACTCAAAATCACCATCTTGGGTAAAGGAGAAGACCAAGAAGGTAGAATCACTTTCCTTAAATTAATCCATAATGGAAAGAAAATTGCCTTTATTATTGTGTATGCTCCAAATTCATATGATCCTACGTTTTTTGATTCTCTGAATAGCATATTGTTAGTATTAACTGAATTACATCTGGTTATTGTGACAGACATGAATTGCCATTTCGGACATGCGGGACAAATCTAACAAGACCAACTACAATCTACACGCAACCAAGACTCCAACATACAGTATATTCTCTGATTGCAACCTCACTGATGCCTGGCGAGCACATAATCCAAAAGCAAATGAGTACACTTTCTACTCAAGCAGGCATTCTATAATATTATCTAAATCTCTATTTTCAAAAAATTAAGAAAACAGAAATTCGATATATCAGCTTGTCTGATCACCACACCTACTGGCAATTAGTCCCCTGTAGCTCAGTTGGTAGAGCATGGCGCTTGCAATGCCAGGGTTGTGGGTTCATTTCCCACGGGGGGCCAGTATGAAAATGTATGCACTCACTAACTGTAAATTGCTCTGGATAAGAGCGTCTGCTAAATGACTAAAATGTAAAATGTAGAGCATTGGATAGCATGAATAGAGTCAAATCACCTGGATGGTATTCCCCGTGAGGTCTATTTAAAAATTCGGAATCAATGAGGTACACTATTGCTAGAAATGATTAACACAGCTGTTCACAAAGGTTCATGAAAAAAAGGTAAGGATGCCACCCAGTGCCCTCACTATCGCCCCCTATCTTTAATAAACACAGATATTAAAACTGTTTTTCCAAAAGGTTGTCATCCCGTCTCGAGACTTGCTTACCCAAATTGGTCCACATGGACCAAAAGCGTTCTTGTTAAAAAAACATTTATCCTCGGATAACCTCAGCCGACTATTACATATCTTAAATGCTTCATCAGAAACAACAGCTCCTTTTTGATAGACTAGAATGGTCATATCTCTGGTCTGTCTTGGAATATATGGGAATTGGCTCAGATTTCATCAACCTTAGGATGCATCGTAAACATGACGTCCCAAGAATGCATATGCCGGGTCAAAATGACCCGATAATGTAATATCTCTGTTTTATTTGGTGGTCCTCTGTAGCTCAGCTGGTAGAGCACGGCGCTTGAAACGCCAAGGTAGTGGGTTCGATCCCCGGGACCACCCATACACAAAAATGTATGCACGCATGACTGTAAGTCACTTTGGATAAAAGCATCTGCTAAATGGCATATTATTATTTATACTATCAATTTTGTGGAACATAATTATTTTGAGTGATGATTTGGACCTTTCAATCATTATTTTATTGTTTGAAATGTTTTTAGTTGCTCTTCAACAGTTTGATACACATTTCAATGATAACATATTATGAAAATTAATATAGGCTATTCAACATATTAGCACGTTTTTCTTACAATCAAAGTTTCACATTCAACAACATTATAATATCAGCAATCATCAATCGTCAACATCATCAATATAAACGACAACACTAAAACATAAACACTAAAAGGAACATGCTTACTTATGCTGTCTTAGTCCATGCATTAGTTATAAACCACAAGCATGTGACTGTGCTCTTCGCAGATGGGGTGTGTTGCACTGAGAACACCAGCAGCTGATTTTCTATCCTTTGTGTTTGGGCAGAGCTGGCACCTCTTCCTCTTCTGGCTGCGCTGAGTGGTGGTGGCATGGCTCTCTTTCATCACCCAACATCTTTCCATTGCCTCAGTTCTGCTGTGGAGAGTGGAGAACCTTCCAGAAGGACAACCATCTCTGCAGCACTCCAACAATCAGGCCTTAATGGTAGAGTGGCCAGACGGAAGCCACTCCTCAGTAAAAGGCACATGACAGCCCCGCTTGGAGTTTGCCAAAAGGCACCTAAAGGACTCTCAGACCATGAGAAAACAAGATTCTCTGGTCTGATGAAACCAAGATTGAACTCTTTGGCCAGAATGCCAAGCGTCACGTCTGGCGGAAACCTGCTCATCCACTGTGACGCAGTCGCTGGGGATGAACCTTCCTCTACAGTTTGCTAGGAAAAAGTCCCACACATACCGGAAGGCTGCCAGGTGGTCCGTTACCTCTCTGAACACTCTGGTCCTCATGTCATCAAGCCTCAGGTAGCGACGAATATCCTCATATCTTCCGACCGACATGGTGGCCTTATACATTGGATTCTGCAGTGGATCCAAAAATAGCTCCCGTGTGGAGACATCCCAGCTTTTCTCCACGGCGCGAGGAGGGTTAAACCAATAAATGCCTTTAGTTCCTCTTTGTTGACCTCTCTCCACTCTTTCCCTTTTGCTGTTGCTGGTCTCCGTCCTTCTAAATGTGTACACTTTAGGACCTCCTCGATGATGTTGTCACTAATGAACAACTCCCAGGCATCTTTTGGTGACACAACTGTTGACCCCGGCACAGGCCCTGGGCAGCTCCTCAGGATGTAATGGCTTCTGGTCCTGCCTTTAGTGGGGGGGGGGGGGGGGGGGGGGGGGGGGGATGTTCACTGCATTAAGACCCCTTTTTTACTCAGTCTATTTGACTAGTTTTCACTCTCCTCCTCAGAGGAGTCCTCCCCATCTGCAGAATCATCTAGAACAGCTGAACTACCAGGTGCATCCACAACTCCAACTTGAAACACAGGCACATAGTCTGTGTCATCTGAATTGGATACCTCAGATTCTGAGTCGGAGGCACCAATGGCTTCCTCATCCACCATCCGTAAAACCATTTTGGTTGTATATGAGTTAAAAAGGAGAAATGAAAACTGTGTTTAATTAACATTAAAAACAAGATATTGAATAAATACTTTATTAATAACATTGGATTTTATTGTTGTAGCAAAAAAGAAAGATCAGTTTGACGAGTGCAATGCAGTGAATTCCATATGAAATACGGGTCGTAGTTGACCCACATATGAAAACTTGGGGTAGTGATGCAAAAACAATATGCCAATCCCTCAGCCATAGTTTTAACAGGCAAAATCTGCTCTGTTCTGTTCAGAATCACTAGAAGCAGCAGGCAAGGTGATCCAATTTCTCCTTTGCTATTCTTCTTATCCATGGAACCCCTGGCCCAGGCAATTCACCAATCAAAGGAAATAACACCAATTACCCTCAAAGCTACTGATCACTTCATGTCATTATATGAGGACGAACTTCTACTATATGTAGACAGTGAATTCCAATCACTCCCAAAACGCATTGAAGATCATAGATAAATTCAGCTTCATCTCAAGTTATAAAATTAGTCTAACCAAATCAGCCCTACTGCCTCTCAAGATGTCGATGGAGGGCTCCATCTCTACTTATGGAATCCCAATAGTTTCCCATTTAAAATATTTGGGAGTAGATATATTTCCTTCCTTAGATAAAACCATTGCCAGAACGTTAACAGAACGCTCAAATCAACTAAAACCGACCTCAGTAGATGGACTAACATCCCATTTGCTTTAAGCGGCTGAATATATATTATCAAAATGAATATATTGCAAGAAAGCAAAGGTAACTGAACTAAATGACTATCGCCCCGTAGCACTCACCTCTGTCATCACGAAGTGCTTTGAGAGACTAGTCAAGGATCATATCACCTCTACCTTACCTGTCACCCTAGACCCACTTCAGTTTTCTTACCGCCCCAATAGATCCACAGATGATGCAATTGCCATCACACTGCACACTGACCTATCTCATCTGGACAAGAGGAATAACTATGTAAGAATGCTGTTCATTGACTATAGCTCAGCATTCAACACCATAGTACCCTCCAAGCTCATCATTAAGCTCGAGGCCCTGGGTCTGAACCCCGCCCTGTGCAACTGGGTCCTGGACTTCCTGACGGGCCGCCCCTAGGTGGTGAAGGTAGGAAACAACATCTCCACTTTGCTGATCCTCCACTCTGGGGCCCCACAAGGGTGCGTGCTCAGCCCCCTCCTGTACTCCCTGTTCACCCATGACCGTGTGGCCAAGCACGCCTCCAACTCAATCATCAAGTTTGCAGATGACACAACAGTAGTAGGCTTGATTACCAACAATGACGAAACAGCCTACAGGGAGGAGGTGAGGTCTCTGGGAGTGTGGTGCCAGGAAAATAACCTCTCACTCAACGTCAACAAAACAAAGGAGATGATCATGGACTTCAGGAAACAGCAGAGGGTGCACCACCCTATCCACATCGACGGGACCGCAGTGGAGAAAGTGGAAAGCTTCAAGTTCCTTGGAGTACCCATCACTGAAATGGTCCACCCACGCAGACAGTGTGGTGAAGAAGGTGCAACAGAGCCTGATCAACCTCAGGAGGCTGAAGAAAATTGGCTTGGCACCTAAAACCTTCACAAACTTTTACAGATGCACAATTGAGAGCATCATGTTGGGCTGTATCACTGCCTGGTACGGCAACTGCACCACCCACAACTGCAGGGCTCTCCAGAGGGCAAACTACCCGCCCTCCAGGACACCTACAGCACCCGATGTCACAGGAAGGCCAAAAAGATCATCAAGGACATCAACCACCCGAGCCACTGCCTGTTCACCCCGCTATCATCCAGAAGGCGAGGTCAGTTCAGGTGCATCAAAGCTGGGACCGAGAGAATGAAAAACAGCTTCTATCACAAGGCCATCAGACTGTTAAATAGCCATCACTAGCACACCAGAGGCTGCTGCTGCCTATTGAAATCACTGGCCACTTTAAGAAATTGAACACTAGTCACTTTAATAATGTTTACATATCTTGCACTGCTCATCTCATATGTATATACTGCATTCTATAATATTCTACTGTATCTTAGTCCATGCTGCTCTGTCATTGCTTGTCTATATATGTATATATTCTTAAATTCCATTCCTTACTTAGATTTGTGTATATTGGGTATATGTTGTGAAATTGTTAGATATTACTTGTTAGATATTACTGCACTGTCGGAGCTAGAAGCACAAGCACTACACCTGCAATAACATCTGCTAAACACGTGTATGTGTCCAATAAAATGTTATTTTATTTTATTTTATATTGCTACGGCGGAATATCAGTAGTTCAAAGCTTCCCATGTCTCCCCCTTTTGGCTTTTGGGATAAAGTTCATAGTGCAGTTTCAAAATTCATAGTGATCCCGGATAAAATTAACAAACATACAACGAGGGAAAGACGTAGGAGGACTATCCATACCAAATTTGAAACAGTATTTCCAGCACTAGCATTTTGCCCCATCCTAAATTGGTTTAGTCATCATTCTTCCGCCCACTGGCTGAGTATAGAGAGAAATATGGTGTTTCCTATTGCCCTGGAAGAGGTGGTCTTCACTGATATATCCCTTAAACAATGTAATATGGTGTTTCCTATTGATCTGGAAGAGGTGGTCTCCACTGATATATCCCTTAAACAATGTAATATGGTGTCTCCTATTGATCTGGAAGAGGTGGTCTCCACTGATATATCCCTTAAACAATGTAATATGGTGTCTCCTATTGATCTGGAAGAGGTGGTCTTCACTGATATATCCCTTAAACAATGTAATATGGTGTCTCCTATTGATCTGGAAGAGGTGGTCTTCACTGATATATCCCTTAAACAATGTAATATGGTGTCTCCTATTGATCTGGAAGAGGTGGTCTCCACTGATATATCCCTTAAACAATGTAATATGGTGTCTCCTATTGATCTGGAAGAGGTGGTCTCCACTGATATATCCCTTAAACAATGTAATATGGTGTCTCCTATTGATCTGGAAGAGGTGGTCTTCACTGATATATCCCTTAAACAATGTAATATGGTGTCTCCTATTGATCTGGAAGAGGTGGTCTCCACTGATATATCCCTTAAACAATGTAATATGGTGTCTCCTATTGATCTGGAAGAGGTGGTCTCCACTGATATATCCCTTAAACAATGTAATATGGTGTCTCCTATTGATCTGGAAGAGGTGGTCTCCACTGATATATCCCTTAAACAATGTAATATGGTGTCTCCTATTGATCTGGAAGAGGTGGTCTCCACTGATATATCCCTTAAACAATGTCAACTAATCGTTGGTCCTATTACTGCTCACACAATCTCTACTTGCCGCAAAATTGAAAAACAATGTAACTGGGAATCAAAATTGAGAACCCGAATGAGTTCGGCTCATTTCGCTTATGCCTGGAGCCAGCCCTGATCTGTGTCTGTCTGTCTGTCTGTCTGTCTGTATATGTGTCTGTCTGTTCTGTCAAGACATGTTGTACTGAAAATACAAAACAAAACATCTGAATGAAGTGAGTGCTGGCTGTTTTCATGTTTTATCTCTCCGTCAGACGCTGGATGATCTAGAGACGAGGACCAAGGAGGCCGGGATAGAGATCAGCGTTCGCCAGAGCTTCCTCACCGACCCGGCTCCAGCTGTCAAGAACCTCAAGGTGCCTCCTTCCCTCTCTCCCTGGTTTATCCCCCCTGCTGCCATGGCAACTGGCAGGTGATTGAACACATGAGATCAATCACGTCGGAGCTTGGTGAACAAACCCCAGAGAGCCTCTCACACACACACCATTAGTCCACAGGAGCAGCAAGGGCCCCGGCTGGCGTAACACGTCAGACATAATCACAGAAACACAGGGAGGGCATTACTGGAAACCCTGTCTTTTATTTTGAAGAGACTCAAGTTAATTGAAGAGTAGGGTTGACCCCTCTCTACCCTCGCTCTACCTTTCTGTTCCCCATCCCTCCTCCCTTCACCTCGCTCTACCTTTCTGTTCCCCATCCCTCCTCCCTTCACCTTGCTCTACCTTTCTGTTCCCCATCCCTCCTCCCTTCACCTTGCTCTACCTTTCTGTTCCCCATCCCTCCTCCCTTCACCTTGCTCTACCTTTCTGTTCCTCATCCCTCCTCCCTCACCCTGTCCTCCCTCTCCCTCCTTCCCTCTTCTCTCCTCCTCCGGTGTCAATGTGCTTTCTTCCTGACTGGTGCCTATTCAGCATAACCTTTCCTGGCATACCGGCCTGGGGTTTATGTGTGATATTAATTGGCCTGGGGTTTATGTGTGATATTAATTGGCCTGGGGTTTATGTGAGATATTAATTGGCCTGGGGTTTTTGTGTGATATTAATTGGCCTGGGGTTTTTGTGTGATATTAATTGGCCTGGGGTTTATGTGAGATATTAATTGGCCTGGGGTTTATGTGAGATATTAATTGGCCTGGGGTTTATGTGTGATATTAATTGGCCTGGGATTTTTGTGTGATATTAATTGGCCTAGTTTTTTGTGTGATATTAATCGGCCTAGTTTTTTGTGTGATATTAATCGGCCTAGTTTTTTGTGTGATATTAATTGGCCTAGTTTTATGTGTGATATTAATTGGCCATCGCTGTAGGAACCATGGTAACAACATGAACGTAGCACACCAGAGGGGAAGATGAGTTGCGCTGCGCGATGCATTGCGTTTGGATATTGGGAGGAGGTGTGTGTATGTGTGTGTGTGTCTCTGTGGAGCCAATGTATGTGTGTGTGTGTTTGTGTGTGTGTACCGAATCCGATTTTTTGGGTGGCAAAACTTACCAATACTGATATCTGCAAATATACTGTTTTACAGCGGGAAAATTAAAAAGTGTCATTTTCACACACTGAATTATCCTAAATTGCCATCCAAAATAGCAATTGTCCAATAACTTGTTTTAACTATGCTTAAAATATTGATTTTATACATTGACCCATCATGAACATGTCAGAAAGTGTTCTGATGAGCACGAGAGTCCCTTTTTTCATCCTATTTATTGAATATCGGTTATTGGTGGAGTTATCGGTCGAAACCCTCCTGTTTCCTGTGTTTGTGTTGTGTATTCCCGTCTCCTGTGTGACTCTGTGTAAGACTTTTCTTCCCTCTCTGAATCCCCAGCGGCAAGATGCCAGAATCATTGTGGGGCTCTTCTACGAGACAGAAGCCAGAAAAGTTTTCTGCGAGGTACAGAAGCTAAGTTTGCTGTTCACAACTCTGTGGATTGATATCTTAAAAATGTTTGCTGAATGACAATATCCTTTTTTGTCTCTTTTTGGAAAGGTTTGATTCCAGCTTGTATTGCTCACGGCTCGCATCATTCTCTCTAGATTTTCAGTATTTGTTCTCTGTCTTTTTGTTCTCTCCTCCTCCATACACTCTGATATCTTGTCTTTTTGTTCTCTCCTCCTCCATACACTCTGATATCTTCTGTCTTTTTGTTCTCTCCTCCTCCATACACTCTGATATCTTCTGTGTTATTGTTCTCTCCTCCTCCATACACTCTGATATCTTGTCTTTTTGTTCTCTCCTCCTTCATACACTCTGATATCTTCTGTCTTTTCGTTCTCTCCTCCTCCATTCACTCTGATATCTTCTGTCTTTTAGTTCTCTCCTCCTCCATACACTCTGATATCTTCTGTCTTTTTGTTCTCTCCTCCTCCATACACTCTGATATCTTGTCTTTTTGTTCTCTCCTCCTCCATACACTCTGATATCTTATGTGTTTTTGTTCTCTCCTCCTCCATACACTCTGATATCTTGTCTTTTTGTTCTCTCCTCCTCCATACACTCTGATATCTTGTCTTTTTGTTCTCTCCTCCTTCATACACTCTGATATCTTCTGTCTTTTTGTTCTCTCCTCCTCCATACACTCTGATATCTTCTGTCTAACACACCTGCCCGCTCATCGCTTCCTTTACCTTCCCTTTCACTCACTCCCTCCTTTTCTCTCCCTCCTTCCCTCCATCTCCCCATCTCTCTCTCTCCCCCTGCAATCTTTCTTTACTTTCCCATTCATTAATTATCTCCTTTCTCACTCTTTCTATCTCCTGTCTCTCCCTTTATCCTACAGGTGTACAAGGAGAAGCTCTATGGGAAGAAATATGTCTGGTTCCTGATTGGTTGGTACGCAGACAACTGGTTCAAGATCAAAGACCCGTCAATCAACTGCACCGTGGAGCAGATGACAGAGGCGGTGGAGGGCCACGTTACCACGGAGATCGTCATGCTCAACCCAGAGACCGTCCGAGGGGCCTCCAATCTGGTGAGAGAGATATAGTGTGCATCCCAAATGGGCCCCTATTCCCTATATAGTGATATGCTAGGGAATCTGTACGGAATAGGGTGCTCTGGTCAAACGTAGTGCACTATATAGAGAACAGGGTACCATTTGGGATGCAGACATGTAGTAATGTATACAATATTATACATACAGTACCAGTCAAAAGTTTGGACACACCTACTCATTCAAGGGTTTTTCTTTATTTTTACTATTTTCTGCATTTTAGAATAATAGTGAAGTCATCAAAACTATGAAATAACACATATGGAATCATGTAGTAACCAAAAAAGTGTTAAGAAAATCAAAATATACTTTATATTTGAGATCCTTCAAAGTAGCCACCCTTTGCATTGATGACAGCTTTGCACACTCTTGGCATTCTCTCAACCAGCTTCACCTGGGAGTTCCCACATATGCTGAGCACTTGTTGGCTGCTTTTCCTTCACTCTGCCGTCCAACTCATCCCAAACCATCTCAATTGGGTTGAGGTCGGGTGATTGTGGAGGCCAAATCATCTGATGCAGCACTCCATCACTCTCCTTATTGGTCAAATAGCCCTTACACAGCCTGGAGGTGTGTTGGGTCATTGTCCTGTTGATAAACAAATGATAGTCCCACTAAGCGCAAACCAGGTGGGATGGCGTATCGCTGCAGAATGCTGTGGTAGCCATGCTGGTTAAGTATGCCTTGAATTCTAAATAAAACACTGACAGTGTCACCAGCAAAGCACCCCAAACCATCACACCTCCTACTCCATGCTTCACAGTGGGAACCACACATGCGGATATCATCCGTTCACCTACTCTGCATCTCACAAAGACACAGCGGTTGGAACCAAAAATCTCAAATTTGGACTCATCAGACCAAAGGACAGATTTCCAACGGTCAAATGTCCATTGCTCGTGTTTCTTGGCCCAAGCAAGTCTCTTCTTCATACTGGTGTCCTTTAGTAGTGGTTTCTTTGCAGCAATTCGACCATGAAGGCCTGATTCACGCAGTCTCCTCTGAACAGTTGATGTTGAAATGTGTCTGTTACTTGAACTCTTTGAAGCATTTATTTGGGCTGCAATTTCTGAGGCTGGTAACTGTAATGAACTTATCCTCTGCAGCAGAGGTAACTCTGGGTCTTCCTTTCTTGTGGCGGTCCTCATGAATGCCAATTTCATCATAGCGCTTGATGGTTTTTGCGACTGCACTTGAAGAAACGTTCAAAGTTCTTGAAATGTTCCCGTATTGACTGACCTTCATGTCATAAAGTAATGATGGACTGTCATTTCTCTTTGCTTATTTGAGCTGTTCTTGCCATAATATGGACTTGGTCTTTTACCAAATAGGGCTATCTTCTGTATACCCCCCCCCCCCCCCCCCCCCCCCCCTATCTTGTCACAACACAATGGATTGGCTCAAACGCATTAAGAAGGAAAGAAATTCCACAAATTAACATTTAACAAGGCACACCTGTTAATTGAAATGCATTCCAGGTGACTACCTCATGAAGCTGGTTGAGAGAATGCCAAGAGTGTGCAAAGCTGTCATCAAGGCAAAGGGTGGCTACTTTGAAGAATCTCAAATCTCAAATATATTTTGATTTGTTTAACACTTTTTTGAATACTACATGATTCCATATGTGTTATTTCATCATTTTGATGTCTTCACTATTAATCTACAATGTAGAAAATAGTAAAAATAAAGAAAAACCCTGGAATGAGTAGGTGTGTCCAAACCTTTGACTGGTACTGTATATCTCCATTGTAAGACACATGGTGAGTGGTTACATAGAAATATACTCTAATTCTATGAGTGGTTCTTGGTTCTCTCTGAAATATCTTACCTGACATTCCAACATCCACTGCAGTGAAATTAATTCCTCTGCATGTTATAAGATTGTATTATTTCTGTAATGGGTTCAACATATATTACTATCTCTACTGTTTACTGGTACTCTTTTTCTACTCGTGACCTATCAGAATTGAGTATACAAAGAAGTGGTATAAGTAATAGTAATTTCAGTGTTTTATTATACACATAATAAATGTGTATTGTATCGAAGGTGAGATTCTTAGATAATGTTTAATGGACCATGTCACTATGACGATGACCCAAATGGCACCCTGTTCCCTATTTTCATGAGTTTCACGGCCGGGTCATGACCCAAATGGCACCCTGTTCCCTATATTCATGAGTTTCACGGCCGGGTCACGCCATTGTTATGAATGTTCTCGGGGGACTGAGGAACAACTTTTTAGCTTTGTCCATTCATTCTAAACAGGTGTTAATGATGATGTTGCCTAAATTACACTACAGTGTCTTGGAAATACAATTACATAGGCAAATTATTAGTGGGAAACAACTTTGTCATCATTGTGATGTCGTCAGATTTACTTTAGACAGATGGCAACGTTGCCATTAGCTAGCAAAGTTAGCTAAAAATAGCTAGCAATGCTAACGTTAGCTAGCTAAAATCTGGTGCTCCCCCCTCACAACGTTAACTACTCTAAAGTCAATCTGACGACATCACAATGATGACAATAGGTTTTCCTACTAATTATTTACCTTTAGAAATGTAATTGTGCTTCCAAGTCACTGAAATGTATTGTAGACAAAATCTTCATCAGCGCCAATTGAGAGAACTTTCAGTCAGGTTGCCTCCCGAATGGCGCAGCGGTCTAAGGCACTGCATCGCAGTGCTTGAGGCGTCACTGCAGACCCGGGTTCGATCCCAGGCTGTGTCGCAGCCGGCCGAGACCGGGAGACCCATGAGGCGGCGCACAATTGGCCCAGCGTCGTCCAGGTTAGGGGAGGGTTTGGCCGGCCGGGATGTCCTTGTCCCAACGCGCTCTAGCGACTCCTTGTGGCGGACCGGGCGCATGCACGCTGACTTCGGTCGCTAGTTGTACAGTGTTTCCTCCGACAAATTGTTGCGGCTGGCTTCCGGGTTCAGCGAGCAGTGCGGCTTGGCAGGGTCGTGCTTCGGAGGATGCATGGCTCTCGACCTTCGCCTCTCCAGAGTCCGTACGGGAGTTGCAGCGGCCAGGACTACCAATTGGATATCATGAAAAAAGTTAAATTAAATAAAAAAAATAAAAAATAAAACGTTCAGTCGGACCTCATAGAACTTTCAGCGATGTATTGATGTGAAACCCATGAATAGTAGGGCTCTGGTCAAAAGTAGTGCACTATGTAGGGATTAGGGTGCCATATGGGATACATCCTTTGATGTTGTCCCAGTCTCCTCCCAAGTGTAATGACCCTTTTTAATTCATACTGCCATGACTGGAGAGGAGAGGAGCTTCAGGATGCTATTCACAGTAACTCATCTGTAATATTATCTATCTACTTTGAAGTTTTACCTCGTTGAAGAAAAGCTTTGCGCTCGAGAGAAGCGTTCGAGTGCTGCGAACCGGTTTCTCTCTCTCTTGAAAGTCTCGGCTCTGAATTATCATCATTGCCCTGTAGAGTAGCTGGAGAAAATATAACTCTGAATAAATACACTTCTGTTCATGTTTTTCCATGAAACGCTACACTGGGGCTGTGCTGTCTGGAAGTGCTGAAGAGGCAAAGAGGGAAAGATTAGAGTCCCAAATGGTACCCTTTACCTATGGGCCCTAGTCAAAGCAGCCTAACGAGGCTAGAGAGTCGTGTCTTATTGATCAAAGCCCCATTTGGTGACGAGGCGTCGAGAGGCTGCGGTTGTCGAGGCGATGGTTCTCCAGGGCTGCAGCTTTGACAGATCCAGCTGCTAGATGCAGCCCGGAGCCGAGGGAAGGGGAGGGAGTGGGTGTGTGTGTGTGCATAAACTCAAGTCGAAATTAGATGTTTGTTCAAGTCAGTTAAACATAGTGAGTAGGGCTGGCACGGTAATTGTTTAACCGACGATTATGAATGAAGACCGTGAGCAAAATTCAATAACCATTATAACTTAAAAATTAAATTTGACTTTGATTTAACCGTTGTAATGCAAACATTTTATTGGATTTTTAAGTAACTATATCTAATATACCCTATAGCAGTAGAGTCAATGAATGGTTATTATAAACAATCGTTTTTCTACCTTAATCTGTCAAACTGTCTCCATCTCCATCCTCCAATGTGAGATCTCTCCCTTTGACGCTGGAAACATGATCTGTATCTATAGCCTAGTATGCAGGGCAGGCTATATGTTTATCCGTTTGGTAAAGAGGCCAAAACAATGCTAAAATCACCATCGCTGCTGAAATGAACTACCAAATGCCATTCTTGTAAGTGAATGTCTAAGTGAATGTGAATCTGAGAGAAACTGATGAACACCGAAGTTGAATACACTTACCAGCCAGTTTAACTAGTACCCCACTTTGCCTCCAGAACAACCTGAATTCTTCGTGGCATGGATTCTACATGGTGTCGGAAACATTCGTTGCTCAATTGGTATCAAGGGACCTAACGTGTGCCAGGAAAACATTCCCCACACCAGTACTCCACCGCCACCAGGCTGTACCAGGCTGATGCTGCTTACGCCAAATCCTGACTCTGCCATCAACATGATGCAACAGGAACCAGGATTCGGCGAAGCAGGCAATGTTTTTCCACTCCTCAATAGTCCAGTGTTGGTGATGGCGTGCCCACTGGAGCCGCTTCTTCTTGGTTTTAGCTTAGGAGTGGAACCCGGTGTGGTCGTCTGCTGCAATAGCCCATCCGTGACAAGGATCAACGAGTTGTGCATTCCGAGATGCTGTTGTACTGTGCCGTTATTTGTCTGGTTGTGGCCCGCCTGTTACCTTGGCACTGACGATCATATCACGCTCAAAGTCGGTTAGGTCAATCATTTTGTCCATTCTGACGTTCAATAGAACAGTAACTGAATGCCTTGATGCCTGTCTGCCTGCTTTATATAGCAAGTCACGGCCACCTAATAAACTGTCTGTGTGCAACAGCTGCAACTGCGTGATAGACTTGTTTTACTGCGATTGCTAGGCAACGGAAAGCAATGCTCTACCGCTGCTGCTGGAAGCAGCGCTGCAGACAGAGATGAGAGGAGAAAATAGTGGACATTTGAACAGTTCTAACGGTGACCGTGGACATTTGCTTGACAAATAACCTGCTTCCAGGGCTACGTCCCAATTGGCAACCTATTCTATTCCCTATTATGGGCCCTGGTTGAAAGTAGTGCACTATATAAGAGAATAGAGTGTCATTTGGAACGCAGAGTATTACAGATTTGTTATGTCTCTCCTTAGCTCGTCACAGAGAGAGAGAGAGAGAGAGAGAGAGAGAGAGAGAGATGCCTTATGCAGATCAGGTAGAGAGAGAGAGAGATACAGATGCCTTATGCAGATCAGGTAGAGAGAGAGAGAGAGAGAGAGAGAGAGAGAGAGAGAGAGAGAGAGAGAGAGAGAGAGATAGAGACAGATTGCCCTTATTCAGATCCAGTAGAGGGAGATAGCGATAAGATCCATAATGAACTCGATCAATGTAGAAGAGAATGAGAAGAGGAGATGAGATTGAGAGATCAGGTAGCGAGATGAGAACGATCCCTGGAGATGAAGGTACGAGATAATCAAAGGCTAGATAGAGAGAGAGAAGAGAGACTTCAGGTAGAGGAGAATGAGACATATCAGAGAGAGAGACATCAGAGAGAGACAAAAGTGGAGACAAATTTCACCCCAATAACTACCGTGGGATATGCGTCAACAGCAACCTTGAGGAAATCCTCTGCATTATCATTAACAGCAGACTAGTTAATTTCGTCAGTGAAAACAATGTACTGAGCAAATGTCAAATTGGCTTTTTACCAAATTACCATACGACAGACCAAGTATTCACCCTGCACACCCTAATTGACAAACAAGCAAACCAAAACAAAGGCAAAGTCTTCTCATGCTTCAAAAAAGCTTTTGACTCAATTTGGCATGAGGGTCTGCTATACAAATTGATGGAAAGTGGGATTGGGGGAAAAACATACGAAATTATAAAATCCATGTACACAAACAACAAGTGTGCGGTTAAAATTGGCAAAAAACACACACATTTCTTTCCACAGGGCCGTGGGGTTAGGCAGGGATGCAGTTTAAGCCCCACACTCTTCAACATATATATATACGAATTGGCGAGGGCACTAGAACATTCTGCAGCACCCGGCCTCACCCTACTAGAATCTGAAGTCAAATGTCTACTGTTTGCTGATGATCTGGTGCTTCTGTCACCAACCAAGGAGGGCCTACAGCAGCACCTAGATCTTCTGCACAGATTCTGTCAGACCTGGGCCCTGACAGCAAATCTCTGTAAGACAAAAAAGGTCCAGTTGCCAGGACCACAAATACAAATTCCATGTAGACACCGTTGCCCTAGAGCACACAAAAAATATATACATACCTCGGCCTAAACATCAGCGCCACAGGTAACTTCCACAAAGCTGTGAACGATCTCAGAGACAAGGCAAGAAGGGCCTTCTATGCCATCTAAAGGAACATAAAAGTCGACATACCAATTAGGATCTGGCTAAAAATACTTGAATCAGTTATAGAACACATTGCCCTTTATGGTTGTGAGGTCTGGGGTCCGCTCACCAACCAATAATTCACAAAATGGGACAAACACCAAATTGAGACTCTGCATAAAGAATTCTGCAAAAATATCGTCAGTGTACAACGGAAAACACCAAATAATGCATGCAGAGCAGAATTAGGCCGATACCCGCTAATTATCAAAATCCCAAAAATTCTATAACCACTTAAAAGGAAGCAATTCCCAAACCTTCCTTAACAAAGTCATCACCTACAGAGAGATGAACTTGGAGAAGAGTCCCTTAAGTAAGCTGGTCCTGGGGCTCTGTTCACAAACACAAACAGACCCCACAGAGCCCCAGGACAACAACAACAAAACAATTAGACCCAACCAAATCATGAGAAAACAAAAAGAGAATTACTTGACACATTGGAAAGAATTTACAAAAAAACAGAGCAAACTAGAATGCTATTTGGCCCTCAACAGAGAGTACACAGCGGCAGAATACCTGACCACTGTGACTGACCCAAACTTAAGGAAAGCTTTGACTATGTACAGATTCAGTGAGCATAGCCTTGCTATTGAGAAAGGTCACCGTAGCCAGACCTGGCTCTCAAGAGAAGACAGGCTATGTGCACAAAATGAGGTGGAAACTGAGCTGCACGTCCTAACCTCCTGCCAAATGTATGACCATATTAGAGACACATATATCCCTCAGATTACAGAGATCCACAAAGAATTCGAAAACAAACCCAATTTTGATAAAATCCCTTATCTACTGGGTGAAAAACCACAGAGTGCCATCACAGCAGCAAGATTTGTGACCTGTTGCCACAAGAAAAGGGCAACCAGTGAAGAACAAACACCATTGTAAATACAACCTATATTTATGTTTATTTATTTTCCCATTTGTACTTTAACTATTTGCACATTGTTACAACACTGTACAGTGGGGAAAATAAGTATTTAGTCAGCCACCAATTGTGCAAGTTCTCCCACTTAAAAAGATGAGAGAGGCCTGTAATTTTCATCATAGGTACACGTCAACTATGACAGACAAAATGAGATTTTTTTCTCTCCAGAAAATCACATTGTAGGATTTTTAATGAATTTATTTGCAAAATATGGTGGAAAATAAGTATTTGGTCAATAACAAAAGTTTCTCAATACTTTGTTATATACGCTTTGTTGGCAATGACACAGGTCAAACGTTTTCTGTAAGTCTTCACAAGGTTTTCACACACTGTTGCTGGTATTTTGGCCCATTCCTCCATGCAGATCTCCTCTAGAGCAGTAATGTTTTGGGGCTGTCGCTGGGCAACACGGACTTTCAACTCCCTCCAAATATTTTCTATGGGGTTGAGATCTGGAGACTGGCTAGGCCACTCCAGGACCTTGAAATGCTTCTTACGAAGCTACTCCTTCGTTGCCCGGGCGGTGTGTTTGGGATCATTGTCATGCTGAAAGACCCAGCCACGTTTCATCTTCAATGCCCTTGCTGATGGAAGGAGGTTTTCACTCAAAATCTCACGATACATGGCCCCATTCATTCTTTCCTTTACACGGATCAGTCGTCCTGGTCACTTTGCAGAAAAACAGCCCCAAAGCATGATGTTTCCACCCCCCCATGCTTCACGGTAGGTATGGTGTTTCTTTGGATGCAACTCAGCATTCTTTGTCCTCCAAACACGACGAGTTGAGTTTTTAACAAAAAGTTCTATTTTGGTTTCATCTGACCATATGACATTCTCCCAATCCTCTTCTGGATCATCCAAATGCACTCTAGCAAACTTCAGACGGGCCTGGACATGTACTGGCTTAAGCAGGGGGACACGTCTGGCACTGAAGGATTTGAGTCCCTGGCGGCGTAGTGTGTTACTGATGGTAGGCTTTGTTACTTTGGTCCCAGCTCTCTGCAGGTCATTCACTAGGTCCCCCCGTGTGGTTCTGGGATTTTTGCTCACCGTTCTTGTGATCATTTTGACCCCACGGGGTGAGATCTTGCGTGGAGCCCCAGATCGAGGGAGATTATCAGTGGTCTTGTATGTCTTCCATTTCCTAATAATTGCTCCCACAGTTGATTTCTTCAAACCAAGCTGCTTACCTATTGCAGATTCAGTCTTCCCAGCCTGGTGCAGGTCTACAATTTTGTTTCTGGTGTCCTTTGACAGCTCTTTGGTCTTGGCCATAGTGGAGTTTTGGAGTGTGACTGTTTGAGGTTGTGGACAGGTGTCTTTTATACTGATAACAAGTTCAAACAGGTGCCATTAATACAGGTAACGAGTGGAGGACAGAGGAGCCTCTTAAAGAAGAAGTTACAGGTCTGTGAGAGCCAGAAATCTTGCTTGTTTGTAGGTGACCAAATACTTATTTTCCACCATAATTTGCAAATAAATTCATTAAAAATCCTACAATGTGATTTTCTGGAAAATAATTCTCAATTTGTCTGTCATAGTTTGACGTGTACCTATGATGAAAATGACAGGCCTCTCTCATCTTTTTAAGTGGGAGAACTTGCACAATTGGTGGCTGATTTTTAAAATACTTTTTTCCCCATGTATATAAAAATTAATAATATGACATTAAATGTTTTATTATTGGAACTAATGAGTGTAATGTTAATGTTAATATTTATGGTTTATTTCACTTTTGTTTACTACTACTTCATTGCTTGGCAATGTGAACATACGTTTCCCTGCCAATAAAGCCCTTAAATTGAATTGAATTGATTTGAAGGAGAGAGAGAGAGAGAGAGAGAGAAGAGAGAGAGACAGATCAGGTATAGAGAGAGAGAGAGATCAGGTGAGAGAGAGACCAGATCAGGTAGAGAGAGAGAGGGAGGGAGAGAGAGAAGAGAGGAAGATAGATCCTGTAGGAGAGAGATAGTGAGGAGTGATGAGAGTAGAGGAGAGAGAGATAGATAGATAGATAGATATATTAGAGATAGATAAGAGATATATATAGATATGAGTATAGATATATAAATAGATCCAGGTATAACAGAGAGGAGACTAAACACACTGCACACTTGGACACTTTATGGAGCCTTCACTATCTCATCCTGGTGGAATATCCAAAGCCTGAGGTCATCTGCCTTTGGCCTAAAGAGCAGGAACCTGGACTTCACCAAAGAAATCAGAAAAACAGACATTGTCATCCTACAAGAAACATGGTGTAGAGGAGACGGACCCACTGGTTGCCCTCTAGGTTACAGAGAGCTGGTAGTTCCATCCACCAAACTACCAGGTGTGAAACAGAGAAGGGACTCAGGGGTATGCTAATTGAGTACAGAGCAGACCTAACTCACTCTATTCAATTAATCAAAACAGGAACATTTTACATTAGGCTAGAAATTCAAAAGGAAATTATCTCAACAGAGAAAAATGTCCTCCTGTGTGCTACCTATATCCCCCCACTAGAATCCCCATACTTTAATGAAGACAGATTCTCCATCCTGGAGGGGGAAATCAATCACTTCCAGGCCCAGGGACATGTACTAGTCTGTGGCGACCTAAATACCAGAACTGCACAAGAACCTGACACCCTCAGCATACAGGGGGACAAAACATACCTGGAGGTGACAGCATTCCCTCCCCCATATGCCCCCCAGGCACAACTATGACAACATAACCAACAAAAATGGGTCACGACTCCTGCAGCACTGTCGCACACTGGGTATGTACATAGTCAATGGTAGGCTTCGAGAGGACTCCTGTGGTAGGTACACCTATAGCTCATCTCCTGGCAGTAGTACTGTAGACTACTTTATCACTGACCTAAACCCAGAGTCTCTCAGAGCGTTCACAGTCAGCCCACTGACACCCCTATCAGATCACAGCAAAATCACAGTCTACTTGAACAGAGCAATACTCAATCATGAGGTATAAAAGCCAAAGGAACTGAATAATATTAAGAAATGCTATAGATGGAAGGAAAGTAGTGTAGAAACCTTCTATAAAAAGGCAACAACAAATTCAATTCCTTTTAGACAACTTCCTGGACAAAATGTTTTACTGTAATAGTGAAGGTGTAAACTTGGCAGTAGAAAACCTAAACAGTTTATTTGATCTCTCAGCTTCCCTATCAAATCTAAAAATGTCTAACAGAAAACCAAAGAAAATTAACAAGAATGACAAATGGTTTGATGAAGAATGCAAAAACCTAAGAAAGAAATTGAGAAACCTATCCAACCAAAATCATAGAGACCCAGAAAACCTGAGCCTACGCCTTCACTATGGTGAATCACTAAAACAATACAGAAATACACTACGGAAAAGAAGGAACAGCACGTCAGAAATCAACTCAATGTAATTGAAGAATCCATAGACTAACCACTTCTGAGAAAATTGGAAAACACTAAACAAACAACAACACGAAGAGTTATCTATCCAAAACGGAGATGCATGTGTAAACCACTTCTCCAATCTTTTTGGCCCTATAACAAAGAACAAACAGCAAAAAAATATACATGATCAAATACAACTCTTAGAATCAACTATTAAAGACTACCAGAACCCACTGGATTCTCCAATGACATTGAATGAACTACAGGACAAAATACAAACCCTCCAACCCAAAAAGGCCTGTGGTGTTGATGGTATCCTCAATGAAATGATAAAATATACAGACCACAAATTCCAATTGGCTATACTTAAACTCTTTAACATCATCCTCAGCTCTGGCATCTTCCCCAATATTTGGAACCAAGGACTGATCACCCCAATCCCCAAAAGTGGAGACAAATTTGACCCCAATAACTACCGTGGGATATGCGTCAACAGCAACCTTTGCGAAAATCCTCTGCATTTACATTAACAGCAGACTCATACATTTCCTCAGTGAAAACAAATTACCGTACAGCAGACCACGTATTCACCCTGCACCCCCTAATTGACAAACAAACAAACCAAAACAAAGGCAAAGTCTATATATGCTTCTCATACAGTATGCTTGTACCCTGGTGACATCCTAGCGAGAGGAGAGGAACATCTGACCCCTCCCACTGGTAGACAGGATGTCAACCTGGTGCTCCCAGCTGTGTACACCAATCCTTCCTCCTCAGACACTTCCACCTCCACCCCCATCTACCTCACACACAGTTCTAAGCCCTCCTCTCGCTCTTCTTCCAGACGTCTCAGGAGTTTCTGAACCAGCTGATGTCTAAGTTGGGGGGTAAGAACCCGAGGAGACGGGGGGGGGGGGTTCCAGGAGGCCCTCTGGCTTAGATGCAGTGTGGGCCTGGCTCTGGCCCTCAACAAGACCGTTGGGCCCCTGAAGGCCAAGGGCCGCAGGCTGGAAGACTTCAACTACAACAACCGAGATATCACCGCTGAGATCTACCGCGCTCTCAACACCAGCTCATTCGAAGGAGTGTCGGTGAGTATCTTATATATGTATAATGAGGGAAGAGGAAAGCTGGAGGAGGAAAGAAAAGAAGTTGGGTGTACCGAGAGAGAGAGCAGAGAGGAGAGGAGAGAGCAAGAGAGAGATGGGAAGAGGGGGAGAGATAGAGAGAGGGAGAGATGAGAGAGAGAGAGAGAGAGGAGAGAGACAGAGGAGAGAGAGAGAGAGACTAGGATCCCCCAGCCACATCATAATTAACACGGGCTCAAATAACCTGGGCACAGCATGAAAAGGGTTTCCACAGCACTCAAGGGAGTGATTGAAAAAGCTTCTCCCACATTCCCTAACACACAAGTGGTCATCTCCGCCCTCCTACCACAAACATACATTCACCTTGCCACCATACAGCGAGTGAATGCAAGCCATTCCCGAGACTGTGCCTCAAAACCTAATGTCTACCTGGCCCACCACTCCACCCTGGACGTGAAAAGTCTTTACGACCTGGTCCACCTCTACAAGGCAGCAGTCCCCACCTTTGCCAGGACTCTGAAGGATGTCACCCTCAACCGCAGCCCCAGCACCTCACACAGGAGCAACAGAGCAACCGAGACCCCCTCCCGAAGGACCTGCACCGAGAGAACCCACGCCAAGAGGACCTACACCCAGACCACATCATCACCAGCCACATCCCCACCCCAAACAAACCCTAGCCACACCCTACATATGCCCTCCCCCCAGATCAGGTCTATGCCCATTCTCCCCCCCCCCCCCCCATGCCCCATCCTGCGACGTAAGAGGTATGTATCAGATGCTCAACGTGCTCTGCTCCCACCTTCTGTAATGGTCCGGGCCTAAACCACACGAAAACAACACTAGACACTATGGAACACAAAGCTTTTACTATCTCATCCTGGAATATCCAAGGTCAGAGGTCATCTGCCTTTGGAGCAGGAACCCAGTCTTCATCAAAGAAATTGGAAATACAGACATCTTCATCCTACAAGAAACATGGTATAGAGGAGACGGACCCACTGGTTGCCCTCTAGGTTACAGAGAGCTGGTAGTCCCAGCCACCAAACAGGTATGAAACAGGGAAGAGACTCAGGGGGTATGCATAAAGCAGACCTAACCCACTGTATTAAATTAGTCAAAACAGGAACATTTTACATCTGGCTAGAAATTAATAAGGAAATTATATCAACAGAGAAAAATCTCTTCATTTGTGCTACCAATATACCCCCAATAGAATCCCCATACTTTAATGAAGACAGCTTCTCCACCCTAGAGGGGGAGATCAACCATTTCCAGGCCCAGGGACATGTACTAGTCTGTGGTGACCTAAACGCCAGAACTGGACAAGAACCTGACACCCTCAGCACACAGGGGGACAAACACCTACCTGGAGGTGACAGCATTCCCTCCCAAATATGCCCCCCCTAGACACAATTATGACAAAACAACCAACAAAAACGGGTCACATCTCCTGCAGCTCTGTCGCACAGTGTGTCTGTACATATTCAATGGTAGGCTACGAAGGGACTCCTACGTTAGGTACACTTACAGCTCATCCCTTTGCAGTAGTACTGTAGATTACTTTATCACTGACCTCAACCCAGAGTCTCTCAGAGCGTTCACAGTCAGCCCACTGACACCCCTATCAGATCCCAGCAAAACCACGGTCTACTTGAACAGAGCAATACTCAATCATGAGGCATCAACGCCAAAGGAACTGCATAATATTAAGAAATGCTATAGATGGAAGCACAGTAGTGTAGAAACCTTCCAAAAAACAAGTAGACAACAACACATTCAATCGCTTTTAGAACACTTCCTGGACAAAACATTTCACAGTAATAGTGAAGGTGTAAACATGGCCAAAGTCTAAACAGTATATTTGACCTTTCAGCTTCCCTATCAAATCTAAAAATAAAAGCTAACAACCTAAGAAAATGTACAACAATGACAAATGGTTTGATGAAGAATGCAAAAACCTAAGAAAGAAATTGACTAACCTATCCTGCCAAAAACATAAAGACCCAGAAATCCTGAGACTACGCCTTCACTATGGTGAATCACTAAAACAATACAGAAATACACTACGGAAAAATAAGGAACAACATGTCAGAAATCAGCTAAATGTAATTGAAGAATCCATAGAATCTAACCACTTTTGGGAAAATTGGAACACACTAAACAAACAACAACAACACGAAGAGTTATCTATCCAAAACGGAGATGGATAAACTACTTTTCCAATCTTTTTGGCTCTATAACAAAAAACAAACAACAAAAACATATACGTGATCAATTACAAATCTTAGAATCAGCCATTAAAGACTAACAGAACCCACTGGATTCTCCAATTACATTGAATGAACTACAGGACAAAATACAAACCCTCCAACCCAAAAAGGCCTGTGGTGTTGATGGTATCCTAAATGAAATGATAAAATATACAGACCAAAAATTCCAATTGGCTATACTTAAACTCTTTAACATCATCCTCAGCTCTGGCATCATCCCCAATATTTTTTAACAAAGGACTGATCACCCCAATCCACAAAAGTGGAGACAGATTTGGCCCCAATAACTACCGTGGGATATGCATCAAGAACAACCTTGGGAAAATCCTCTGCATTATCATTAAAAGCAGACTCATACATTTCCTCAGTGAGCAAATGTCAAATTGGCTTTTAACCAAATTACTGTACAATATTATCTATGTGTTCTGACCATGATAAAGCTGCGTCCAACATGACGCCTAGTAGTTTGGGGATTAAATTAAATTAGGGATCATCAGCAAGCATATATCTTGAACCAAATACAATACATTTAGTTTTAGAAATGTTCAACACCAATTTGTTCATATCAACCCACTCAGACACCATTCTTATTTCACTACTTATTACACCTGTTAGCTCATCTCCTGTAAGTCGCTCTGGATAAGAGCGTCTGCTAAATGACTAAAATGTAAATGTAATTAAACTCTGATGCTGCGCTATACATTATAAAGTCATCAGCATACATTACCACTCTTGCTTTGTTCATTACTGAAGGTAAATCGTTAGCAAAGATAGAGTAGAGAAGTGGGCCTAGGCAGCTTCCTTGAGGAACACCACAGTGTATATCTTTACTGTTTGAAAAGCTACCATTAAAGAACACGTTTTGCCGTCTCCTGGATAGATAGCTTTCCATCCAGGATAGAGCTGCAGACTTAAAACCATAACATTGGAGTTTACCTAGTAACAGTTCATGATCAATTACATCAAAAGCAGCACTGAAACCTAGCAACACCGCACCAACTAACTTCCTGTCATCCATACTCTTTAACCAATCATCTGTCATTTGTGCTAAGGCCGAACTCGGAGCCCTTCTTTGTCTGCTTGCTGGAAACCCGTTATCAGACCATTACATAAGAAATAATCCTTGATTTGTACAGATACCATTTTTTCCAATAATTTACTTAACACAGGCAGCATGCTTATAGGACGACTATTAGGACCAGTGAATGCAGATTTTTTATCCTTACGTAGTGGAATAACCTTTGACTCTTTCCAGACTTATGGGCACACCCCATACATCAAGCACTTATTAAAAATGAGAGATTGGGGTAGATATTTGGTAAGCTGTAACTCTAAGTCATTTGGCGTCAAGATTATCTGTACCAGGGGACTTGTCATCCGAAAGAGACAACAGCATCCTTTCAACCTCTTCCCTTTCTACTTGCTGAAATTCAAACATGCATTGCCTCTCCTTCATGATACAGTCTTTTATAAGGGTATATGACATGGAGCCATCAGTTGGACTCATGGCATTCCTCAACTTGTCCACTTTGCCTGTAAAATATTTATTAAAGTAGTTTGCGATGTCGTGTGGTTTTATAATAAATATACCCCACGATTCAACAAAAGAGGCGGACATGTTTGAATTCCTACCCATAATAGCGTTCAACGTTCTCCACAGTTTTTTCCCATCACCCTTTACTTCATCAATTTTGTGCTGATAGAATCCCTTCTTCTTTCCTTTGTTTAGCTTGGTCACAAGATTTCTTAATTTACAGTAACTTTGCTTATCAAACAGAGTGCCAGATGTATCTGCTTCTTTTTTGGCATCATCACGTTGAATCATTACATTTCTCAGCTCATCATCAATCCATGGGGCACCGTTTGACCTCACAGTGCATTTTCTTAAAGGGGCACGCTTATCAGCAATACTCATAAACAAACGTAGCGACATTTCACGATCATCCTTACTACACACTTCTAACCATTGCACATTCTTAATCTCATCCACAAGTGAGTCCTGATTGAACCCTCTGTAGGCCCTTCGGTAGATGACCTTAGGGCCAGCCTTTGGTATTTTAGTTTTCCTAGTGAGTGCAACCAAGTTATGATCACTACAACCTAGTGCCACTGATACAGCTTTAGAACAACGTTCAGCCATGTTAGTAAAAATGTGATCAATACAGGTTGACGATGTGATACCAGACCTATTAGTGAACGTTCTGGTTGGTGATGTCATCATGTGGGTCAGGTTACATAAATTGGCAACAGAAATACGTTTATTTTCTCATTGGACAATTGGTGTTAAAAAAAATCAATATTCATATCTCCCAAAAAAAATATATTACCCTATTTTCATCAGATAACTTATCCAACATCAGCATTAGCTGGCCTATAGCAGCAACCAACTGGTATAGGTTTCAAATGTGGTAAATGCACCTGTACCCATAACGGCTCTAATCCATTCAACATTAAGTCTTTACATTGCTGGAATATAAGGAATTTTAAATTATTTATACTTTTACGTTTGATAGTTAAGTATATTTAAAACCAAATACTTTTAGACTTTTACTCAAGTGATATTTTACTGGGTGACTTTCACTTTTACTTGATTTATTCTCTATTAAGAAATCTTTACCTTTACTCAAGTTTGACAATTGGGAACTTTTTCCACCCCTGGCCTTCAGAGTTAATGCCTAGGCTTAAGCTTAGAGGGCTAACTCGGACTACTTGGGTTTGATACCTGGCCAGTCATACCCATAGCGCCTCTAATCCTTACGTTGTTTTGCTGGAATATGACTGGATGTAAACGGCAACTCCACCCCCATATCTATTTCCGTCCCTCCTAAACAAATTGTATCCATGTATAGAGATCTCAGCATCACTCAAAAGAAGAGTCCAGGTAAGTCTCTGATATTGCCAATACATGAATATTGTTTGACTGCACTAGACAGCATATTTCATGAATCTTGCTCCTTAAACTGCATATATTCAAGTGAGCAATTTCTTTGATAGATTCACAGTATTTATATGTCCAAACATGAATCAGCAGTGTGTGTGTTGGGGGGAGGCTTGAATTACTTGTGTCTGTCGCTCCTCCTAACTCCTTGGGAGGGAAGGTGAACAACCAGTTTGTCATACCTCAGGGAGGCTGTCACCTCGTTCTCTTGCATACTTCATAGCTGGTATTAGTTCCTTTCTTATTTGATGGACTGCGTCAGAGAAATTCTCATTGATGTAGATGTAGGACCCTTTAAGGCATTTTGGCCTTTTCAAGGACTGCAAGTTTATCCTTGAACCTGAGGAATTTCACTATAATTGGCCTGGGTCTGGTTCTATTGGCACTAACATTGGCACCACCATTGGCACCACCATTGGCACCACCATTGGCACCACCATTGGCACCACCATTGGCACCACTGAGCACGTTCCAGCTCAACCTGTTGATCCAATTGTAGCTTCTCAGAAAACAGCTTTCGAACTTTGTCCTCTGATTGAGCCCATGTCTCACATTGGCTCTCCTGGATACCATCTATTACAAGATTATTTCTCCTCGATTGTCCATCCAGGTAATCAGCCTTCCCAGACATGTTCTGGAGGCCCCCCCCTGACTGTGGTGATTTAATTTTGCATAGAGGAACAGTTTCTGGAAAGTGTATCCTGTGTGGTCTTCAATACATCCACATCCTTCTGTCTGAACTGAAGGCTTGTATTAAGGTCTTGTACATCTTTGGTCAGGACGTCCAGCCGTTTGTTGGTAGACTCCATGATTATTTGTATGAGGCTTTTAAAGTTGTTTTCCTGCTGAAGTATCATTTCCTTATAGAATACTTTCTGCTTCTCCAAGAGTTCACATACCTGCCCAGCGGAGATGTGATCCTCGTCTTTTTTCGGAGGCATGGCAGTACTAGTAGTAGGGCGAGCCCACTATTCACTCCGTAAAATGAGAGACGCCGGCATGAGGAAACTCTAGAAATCGGTAGTCCTAAGCCCGGGACAAATAGAAGTGCGGCCCTAGCCACAAGGGCTAACCGCTTAGCAGGCTTGGTATCCTGCAGTAGTAGACCAGGTTGCCTAGCTTGATAGCTAGCAGCTAGGCCAGCTGCTTCGCCAATGTAGTACCACCTTGTTTGAGCAAGGATCCCGGGACATATGTCAGCGGTCCCAGCGTTAACGCTAACTGCGTCGCAGGATCCAGATATGAATAGGAAAACGATTATAAACGTTTATTAGCTAACAGGTTAGTTTGTTGTTAAAGTAAAACAATCTGAGTCTCTAGTCTTGAACTGCTCACTCTGTTGATGACGAGTCAAGCCTCTCAGATCTGCAACGTCACATACCAGAGAGAGTGTGAGACTCTGCATGCAGAATTCTGCAAAAACATCCTCCATGTACTATGTAAAACACCAAATAATGCATGCAGAGTAGAATTAGGATGATATCCGCTAATTATCAAAATCCAGAAAAGAGCCGTTAAATTCTACAACCACCTAAAAGTAAGCGATTCCCAAACCTTCCATAACAAAGCCATCACATACAGTGAGATGAACCTGGAGAAGAGTCCCCTAAGCAAGCTGGTCCTGGGGCTCTGTTCACAAACACAAACATACCCCACAGAGCCCCAGGACAGCAACACAATTAGACCCAACCAAATCATGAGAAAACAAAAAGATAATTACTTGACACATTGGAAAGAATTTACAAAAAAAGGAGCAATCTGGACTGCTATTTGGCCCTAAACAGAGAGTACACAGTGGCAGAATACCTGACCACTGTGACTGACTCAAACTTAAGGAAAGCTTTGACTATGTACAGACTCAGTGAGCATAGCCTTGCTATTGAGAAAGGCCGCCGTAGGCAGACCTGGCTCTCAAGAGAAGACAGGCTATTTGCACACTGCCCACAAAATGAGGTGGAAACTGAGCTGCACTTCCTAACCTGCCAAATGTATGACCATATTAGAGACACATATTTCCCTCAAATTACACAGACCCACAAAGAATATGAAAAAAAATTTTTTGGATAAACTCTCATATCTATTAGGTGAAAAATCACAGTGTGCCATCACAGCAGCAATATTTGTGACCTGTTGCCACAAGAAAAGGGCAACCAGTGAAGAACAAACACCATTGTAAATACAACCCGTATTTATGCTTATTTATGTATTTATGCAACCCGTATTTATTTTCCCTTTTGTACTTTAACTATTTGCACATCGTTACACCACTGTACATAGACATAATATGACACCTGAAATGTCTTTATTCTTTTGGGACTTTTGTGAGTGTAATGTTTACTGTTAATTTAATTTCACTTTTGTTTATTATCTATTTCACTTGCTTTGGCAATGTAAACATAGGTTTCCAATGCCAATAACTTTATTTGAATTGAGTGAGAGAGAGAAAGATAGATAGATAGAGAGACAGACAGACAGACAGACAGACAGACAGACAGACAGACAGACAGACAGACAGACAGACAGCAAGAGAGAGACACACACAGAGAAAGAGAGAGAGAAAGAAAGAGAGCAAGAGAGAGAGTCAGAGAGAGAGAGAGAGAGAGAGAGAGAGTGAGCGAGAGAGAGCGAGAGAGAGAGAGAGAGAGAGAGCTGGGAACTAGACAAAAACTTCCATGGGACGTCTTTGGACACAGAATGTTCTTGCAACGTGCCAATGAAACGTGTCTAGAACTTTAATATCTTATATTCTGAGAACATGGCAACCATGTTCTGTGTATGTTTGGTGTGACGTTGATGGAATGTTCTCCTATACTTCAGAAAACTGAAAGAGAGAGAGAGAGAGAGAGAGAGAGAGAGAGAGAGAGAGAGAGAGAGAGAGAGAGAGAGAGAGAGAGAGAGGGATGTTAAAAAAATGTAAGTGGTATTCAGTTTCTCTTCATTCTTTTTCTTCCTGCAGGGCCATGTTGTGTTTGACGCCCAGGGTTCTAGAATGGCCTGGACTCTTATTGAGCAGCTGCAAGGTACAGTACTCTCTCTATTCCTCCTGTGTACAATAAAATCACAATCAGCCATGGAAATTAAGAACATGTGCCCAACTAGCCCGCCGGCTGGTGACATCTTGTCATTTTGAACATTAAACATCGGCATTGGCACCGATTTTGGATTCAGGTAGTTCTGCTAGCGTGGCTGACCAGTGCCCAAAATCCTTCAGTTCCATCCCTGAGTCCATAATCATGAGTATCAACCACATTCAGTGTTCTCAGAAAGTATTCATTCCCCTTGACTTATTCCACATTTTGTTGTGATGTTGGATTAAATCAATGTTTTTTTCTCACCCATCTACACACAATACCCCATAATGACAAAGTGAAAACTTGTTATTAGAAATGTTTGCAAATTTATTGAAAATGAAATACAGAAATATATCATTTACATAAGTATTCAAACCCCTGAGTCAATACATGTTAGAATCACAGTTGGCAGCGATTACAGCTGTGAGTCTTTCTGGGTAAGTCTCTAAGAGCTTTGCACACCTGGATTGTATAATATTTGCACATTATTTTTTTAAACAATTCAAGCTCTGTCAAGTTGGTTGTTGATCATAGCTAGATAGCCATTTTCAAGTCTTGCCATAGATTTTCAAGCCAATTTAAGTCAAAACTGTAACTAGGCCACTCAGGAACATTCAATGTAATCTTGGGCAGGTAGCTTAGTGGGTAAGAGCGTTGTGCCAGTAACCGAAAGGTTGCTGATTCTAATCCCCGAGCCGACTAGGTGAAAAATCTGTCGGTGCCCTTAAGCAAGGCACTTAACCCTAATTGCTCATGTAAGTCGCTCTGGATAAGAGCGTCTGCTAAATGACTGAAATGTAAATGTAAGCAACTCCAGTGTATATTTGGCCTTGTGTTTTAGGATATTGTCCTGCTGAAAGGTGAATTTGAATCCCAGTGTCTGTTGGAAAGCAGACTGAACCAGGTTTTCCTCTAGGATTTTGCCTGTGCTTACCTCTATTCCATTTCTTTTTATCCTAAAAAACTCACTAGTCCTTGCCGATAACAAGCATACCCATAACATGATGCAGCCACCACTATGCTTGAAAATATAAAGACTGGTACTCAGTGATGTGTTGTGTTAGATTATTCCCAAACATAACGCTTTGTATTCAGGACAAAAAGTTCATTTATTTGCCACAGTTTTTTGCAGTTTTACTTTAGTGCCTTGTTGCAAACATGATGCATGTTTTGGAATATTTTTTATTCTGTACAGGATTCCTTCTTTTCACTCTGTCAATTTAGGTTAGTATTGTGGTGTAACTACAATGATGTTGATCCATCCTCAGTTTTCTCCTGTCACAGCCATTAAACTCTGTAACTGTTTTAAAGTCACCATTGACCTCATGGTGAAATCCCTGAGCGGTTTCCTTCCTCTCCGGCAACTGAGTTAGGAAGGACGCCTGTATCTTTGTATTGACTGGGTGTATTGATACACCATCCAAAGTGTAATTGATAACTTCTCCATGCTCAAAGGGATATTCAATGTCTGATTTTTATTTTTTACCCATCTACCAATAGGTGTCCTTCTTTGCAAGGCATTGGAAAACCTCCCTGGTCTTTGAGGTTCATCTTTGTTTGAAATTCAATGCTCGACTGAGGGACCTTACAGATAATTGTATGTGTGGGGTACAGAGATGAGGTATTCATTCAAAGATCATGTTAAACACTATTATTGGACACAGAGTGAGTCCATGCAACTTATTAAATGACTTCTTACTCCTGAACTTATTTAGACTTGCCATAACAAAGGGGTTGAATATTTATTGAGCTTTCATTTTTTATTGATTTGTAAACAAATAAAAAAACGTAATTCCACTCTGACATGATGGGATATTGTGTTTAGGCCAGTGACACAAAATTGAAATGTAATCAATTTTAAATTCAGGCTGTAACACAACAAAATGTGGAAAAAGTCAAGGGGTGTGAATACTTTCTGAAGGCGCTGTATATGCTTTATATACAGTACACTTTCTTCCTGTTTACACAATGTATAGTACCATAATCTTAATCAAGAGTGTCCTCTTACAGTACGTTCTGCCATTGCTTTCTGTGCCCATATCAGTTGCCAAGTGTAGAGTTGTAGAACTTGGTTTTAATACTATGCAAATCTTATAGAGCAGCTACAGGGTACATTACTCTGGTCTCCTGCAATGAATGGATAAAATGAACAATAATTATTAGAAGCATATCATCGTTTTATCACATGTTCTGCCATTGGTATCTGTGCCTATAAACCAAATACATTTGACAAGTGTAAATTTATCGAATTCGGTTTTAATTCTCCACCAATCACAATCCATTTATACATAGCTGCCAAGTATTTAATTGGTAAGCATAAAAATACAATATCTTCCATATACTGAATTTACTAACAATATGAGGGTTGTTATCTCCACTGAAACCCCTCATGTGTTGAGGCGTTAGGTTTCTGTGTGTGTGTGTGTGTGTGTGTGTGTGTTGAGGGGTAGGTGTGTGTGGTGTGTGTGTGGTGTGGTGTGTGTGTTGAGGGGTTGAGGTTTTGTGCTGGTGTGTGGGGGTGGTGTGTGGGTGTGTTGAGGGGTTAGGTTCTGTGTGTGGTGTGTGGTGTGTGTGGTGTGGTGGAGGGGTTGAGGTTTCTGTGGTGTGTGTGGTGTGTGTGGGGGTGTAGGTTGATGTGGGTGGGGGTGGGTGTGGGGGTTAGGTTTCTGTGTGTGTGTGTGTGTGTGTGTGTTGAGGGGTTAGGTTTCTGTGTGTGTGTGTGTTGAGGGGTTAGGTTTCTGTGTGTGGTGTGTGTGTGTGGTGGTGGGTGTGTTGGGGGTAGGTTTCGGGTGGGGTGTTGAGGGGGGTTTGGTGTTGTGTGTGGGTGTTTTGTGTGGGGTGTTTTGGGGTGTGTTTTGGGGGGTTTTGGTTTTGGGTGTGTGGTGGGTTTTTGGGGGGTTTTTTGGGTTTTCTGGTGTGTGGGGGGTGGGGGTGTGTTGGGGTTTTTGTTGGGGGGGGTTGGGTTTTTGGGCCAGGAAAATCTGTTCAGTAAGTCTCATGAACAATAAGGGTCTCAATATTGTCCCCTGGCGCAGCTGTACTTACTAGTTATTTACTACTAGTACTGACTCAGAATACAATTATAGCAGGAAAAAGAAAATGAACATGTGCATAAAAAGTTAATATAGCTACTTGAATATTTCAAATTAGCTTTTCTGAAATGCAATGAACCGAGCTTATCTTCCATGACCAGTGCTTTAGTTGAGCAGAAAAGCTGCTACAGTCATGTTTAAAACATCACCATGCGGAGAGAGAGAGAGAGAGAGAGAGAGACAGACAGAGACGAGAGGGAGAGAGGGAGAGATCGAGAGAGAGAGAGAGAGACAGACAGAGACGAGAGGGAGAGAGAGAGAGAGAGAGAGAGAGGACAGAGAGAGAGAAACAATAAAGCAATACACTACGGAAAAAGAAGGAACAGCATGTCAGAAATCAGCTCAATGTAATTGAAGAATCCATAGACTAACCACTTCTGGGAAAATTGGAAAACACTAAACAAACAACAACACGAAGAGCTATCTATCCAAAACGGAGATGTATGGGTAAACCACTTCTCCAATCTTTTTGGCCCTATAACAGAGAACAAACAGCAAAAACATATACATGATCAAATACAAATCTTAGAATCAACTATTAATGACTACCAGAACCCACTGGATTCTCCAATTACATTGAATAAACTACAGGACAAAATACAAACCCTCCAACCCAAAAAGGCCTGTGGTGTTGATGGTATCCTCAATGAAATTATAAAATATAAATTTTTACATTTTAGTCATTTAGCAGATGGTCTTATCCAGAGCGACTTACAGTTTTTTAATTTATTTTATTTATTTCACCTTTATTTAACCAGGTAAACCAGTTGAGAACAAGTTCTCATTTACAACTGCGACCTGGCCAAGATAAAGCATAGCAGTGCGATAAAAAAACAAACACAGAGTTACATATGGGGTAAAACAAAACAAAGTCAAAAATACAACAGAAATACATATAATATACAGTGTGCAAATTTAGCAAGTTATGGAGGTAAGGCAATAAAATAGGCTATAGTGCAAAATAATTACAATTAGTATTAACACTGGAATGATAGATGTGCAAGAGATGATGTGCAAATAGAGATACTGGGGTACAAATGAGCAAAATAGATAACAATATAGGGATGAGGTAGTTGGGCGGGCTAATTTCAGATGGGCTGTGTACAGGTGCAGTGATCGGTAAGGTGCTCTGACAACTGATGCTTAAAGTTAGTGAGGGAGATAAGTGTCTCCAGCTTCAGAGATTTTTGCAATTTGTTCCAGTCATTGGCAGCAGAGAACTGGAAGGAATTGCGGCCAAAGGAGGTGTTGGCTTTGGGGATGACCAGTGAGATATACCCGCTGGAGCGCAGACTACGGGTGGGTGTTGCTATGGTGACCAATGAGCTAAGATAAGGCGGGGATTTGCCTAGCAGTGATTTATAGATGGCCTGGAGCCAGTGGGTTTGGCGACGAATATGTAGTGAGGACCAGCCAACAAGAGCGTACAGGTCACAGTGGTGGGTATTATATGGGGCTTTGGAGACAAAACGGATGGCACTGTGATAGACTACATCCAATTTGCTGAGTAGAGTGTTGGAGGCTATTTTGTAAATGACATCGCCGAAGTCAAGGATCGGTAGGATAGTCAGTTTTACGAGGGCATGTTTGGCAGCATGAGTGAAGGAGGCTTTGTTGCGAAATAGGAAACCGATTCTAGATTTAACTTTGGATTGGAGATTCTTAATGTTAGTCTGGAAGGAGAGTTTACAGTCTAACCAGACACCTAGATATTTGTAATTGTCCACATACTCTAGGTCAGACCCGTCGAGAGTAGTGATTCTAGTCGGGTGGGCGGGTGCAAGCAGCGTTCGGTTGAAGAGCATGCATTTAGTTTTACTAGTGTTTAAGAGCAGTTGGAGGCTACTGAAGGAGTGTTGTATGGAATTGAAGCTCGTTTGGAGGTTTGTTAACACAGTGTCCAATGAAGGGCCAGATGTATACAAAATGGTGTCGTCTGCGTAGAGGTGGATCTGAGAGTCACCAGCAGCAAGAGCGACGTCATTGATATACACAGAGAAAAGAGTCGGCCCAAGTTAGTGAGTGCATAATTTTTTTTTTCTTCATATACAGACCACAAATTCCAATTGGCTATACTTAAACTCTTTAACATCATCCTTAGCTCTGGCATCTTCCCCAATATTTGGAACCAAGGACTGATCACCCCAATCCCCAAAAGTGGAGACCAATTTGACCTCAATAACTACCGTGGGATATGCGTCAACAGCAACCTTGGGAAAATCCCCTGCATTATCATTAACAGCAGACAATGTACTGAGCAAATGTCAATTTGGCTTTTTACCAAATTACCGTACGACAGACCACGTATTCACCCTGCACCCCCTAATTGACCAAATAACAAACCAAAATGCTATACAAACTGATGGAAAGTGGTGTTGGGGGAAAACATACGACATTATAAAATCCATGTAAACAAACAACAAGTGTGCGGTAAAAATGGGCAAAAAACTCACACATTTCTTTCCACAGGGCCTTGGTGTGAGACAGGGATGCAGCTTAAGCCCCACCCTCTTCAACATATATATCAACGAATTGGCGAGGGCACTAGAACATTCTGCCGCACCCGGCCTCACCCTACTAGAATCTGAAGTCAAATGTCTACTGTTTGCTGATTATCTGGTGCTTCTGTCTCCAACCAAGGAGGGCCTACAGCAGCACCTAGATCTTCTGCACAGATTCTGTCAGACCTGGGCCCTGACGGTAAATCTCAGTAAGACAAAAATAATGGTGTTCCAAAAAAGGTCCAGTTGCCAGGAACACAAATACAAATTCCATCTAGACAACGTTGCCCTAGAGCACACAAAATATGATACATACCTCGAACAAACACCATTGTAAATACAACCCATATTTCTGTTTATTTATTTTCGACTATTTGCACATCATTACAACACTGTATATAGACATAATATGACATTGGAAATGTCTTTATGATTTTGGAACTTCTGAGTGTAATGTTTACTGTTAGTATTTATTGTTTATTTCACTTTTGTTTATCTATTTCACTTGCTTTGGCAATGTTAACATACGTTTCCCATGCCAATAAAGCCCTTAAATTGAATTGAATTGAATTGAGAGGGAGCGAGAGAGACAGACAGACAGACAGACAGACAGAGAGCGAGAGAGCGAGTCCAGGTCTGTTTGTTTTCTGGTTCCTTTTAATCCTTATCCCCTTTACGTTAATATGTATTTCTCAAATCACCTTATGTGCTTGTCTTATTCCTTTTATTTCAATTGTTTATGTTGACGTCCATACCTACGCATTGCGCAGTGCTGTATCCATGGCGATTAGAGAGGGAGAAGTAAGAGTACTCATAGTGGTGAAACACGGGTAAAAAATAACTAGAAATTGTTTCTAAGGGCTTTATTTTGCCTTTGTTTTTTTAATTTCCCTTCTTAGCCCGCCCCTTGTGGCTCCCTTGCAGCCTCCTCTGTTTCACAGGAATGGTGTCGATAGCATCGTCTTATCTCTGGCTACGTAAGGCTCCAGCTGCCTGTGCGGGAGGCAGGCAGTGAGGTGGTGCTAGTTGGTTTGGTTTGGCTGGGTGCGTTTTGATCATTGCGCCTGTTTTCAATCTGTCTGCCGCTTTGTGTCTGCTTTGACAGTGCCTGTGTCGGTGACTCATGTTGTCTCTCGTGTGGGAAACACTCTTTGTTTTTGTGGCGGCTGATGAAAAATTAAGCTTGTTTTCCCAATCTCCTTTCCTCTCTGTTGCTTCCCCTCCATCCCAGAAAAGGAAGTGTTGTTTTGATTAATCATTTACTCAACGCTAATTGGAGTGGATTTCGCCCAGGGCAGTTTGGAGGGGGTTTGGTTCTGGATGTAGTAGAGTACAGCGCAGGCTAAGTGGACATGAGCTGCTTCTCAGTCAGCCAGCAGCTACTGCATAACTACTGCATATCTACTGCATATCTACTGTATATCTACTGCATATCCACTGTATATCTACTACATATCTACTGCATATCCACTGCATATCTACTGTATATCTACTACATATCTACTGCATAACTACTGCATATCTACTGCATATCTACTGCATATCTACTGCATATCTACTGCATATCTACTGCATATCTGCTGCATAACTACTGCATATCTACTGCATATCTACTGCATATCTACTGCATATCTACTGTATATCTACTACATATCTACTGCATAACTACTGCATATCTACTGCATATCTACTGCATATCTACTGCATATCTACTGTATATCTACTACATATCTACTGCATATCTACTACATATCTACTGCATATCTACTGCATATCTACTACATATCTACTGCATATCCACTGCATATCTACTGCATATCTACTGTATATCTACTGTATATCTACTACATATCTACTGCATATCTACTGCATATCTACTACATATCTACTGCATATCTTCTGTATATCTACTGCATATCTCCTGCATATCTACTGTATATCTACTGTATATCTACTGCATATCTACTGTATATCTACTACATATCTACTGCATGTCTACTTTATATCTACTGCATATCTTCTGTATATCTACTGCATATCTACTGCATATCTACTGTATATCTACTGTATATCTACTGCATATCTACTGTATATCTATTTTATATCTACTGCATATCTACTGTATATCTACTTTATATCTACTGCATATCTACTGTATATCTACTGTATATCTACTGCATATCTACTGTATATCTACTGTATATCTACTTTATATCTACTGCATTTCTACTGTATATCTACTTTATATCTACTGCATATCTACTGTATATCTACTGTATATCTACTGCATATCTACTGTATATCTACTGTATATCTACTGCATATCTACTGTATATCTACTTTATATCTACTTTATATCTACTGCATATCTACTAGTATGTCTACTGCATATCTACTAGTATATCTATTGCATATCTACTGTATATCTACTGTATATCTACTTTATATCTACTGCATATCTACTAGTATATCTACTGTATATCTACTTTATATCTACTGCATATCTACTAGTATATCTACTGTATATCTACTGCATATTTCCATTTACATTTACGTCATTTAGCAGACGCTCTTATCCAGATCTACTGCATATCTACTACATATCTACTGTATATCTACTGTATATCTACTGCATATCTACTGCATATCTACTGCATATCTACTGCACATCTACTAGTATATCTACTGTATATCTACTTTATATCTACTGTATATCTACTTTATATCTACTACATATCTACTGTATATCTACTGTATATCTACTGCATATCTACTGTATATCTACTGCATATCTACTGCATATCTACTAGTATATCTACTGTATATCTACTTTATATCTACTGTATATCTACTTTATATCTACTACATATCTACTGCATATCTACTGTATATCTACTGCATATCTACTAGTATATCTACTGCATATCTACTGCATATCTACTGCATATCTACTACATATCTACTGCATATCTACTAGTATATCTACTGCATATCTATTGTATATATCCTGTATATCTACTGCATATCTACTGTATATCTACTGTATATCTACTACATATCTACTAGTATATCTACTGCATATCTACTGCATATCTACTTTATATCTACGAGTATATATCCTGCATATCTACTGTTTATCTATTGCATATCTACTGCATATCTACTATATAGCTACTAGTATATCTCCTGCATATCTACTGCATATCTACTGCATATCTACTATATATCTACTAGTATATCTACTGTATATCTACTGTATATCTACTTTATATCTACTGCATATCTACTATATATCTACTAGTATATCTCCTGCATATCTACTGCATATCTACTGCATATCTACTATATATCTACTAGTATATCTACTGTATATCTACTTTATATCTACTGCATATCTACTATATATCTACTAGTATATCTCCTGCATATCTACAATATGTCTACTAGTATATCTACAGTATATCTACTGCATATCTAATATATATCTACTATTATATCTCCTGTATATCTACTTTATATCTACTGCATATCTACTAGTATATCTCCTGCATATCTACTGTATATCTACTTTATATCTACTGCATATCTACTAGTATATCTCCTGCATATCTACTGTATATCTACTTTATATCTACTGCATATCTACTAGTATATCTACTGCATATCTATTGTATATCTACTGCATATCTACTGTATATCTACTGTATATCTACTGTATATCTACTAGTATATCTACTTTATATCTACTGTATATCTACTTTATATCTACTGCATATCTACTAGTATATCTCCTGCATATCTACTGTATATCTACTTTATATCTACTGCATATCTACTAGTATATCTACTGCATATCTATTGTATATCTACTGCATATCTACTGTATATCTACTGTATATCTACTGTATATCTACTAGTATATCTACTTTATATCTACTGCATATCTACTAGTATATCTACTGCATATCTACTGCATATCTACTAGTATATCTACTAGTATATCTACTGTATATCTACTTTATATCTACTGCATATCTACTAGTATATCTCCTGCATATCTACTGTATATCTACTTTATATCTACTGCATATCTACTAGTATATCTACTGCATATCTACTTTAAATCTACTGCATATCTACTAGTATATCTACTGCATATCTATTGTATATCTACTGCATATCTACTGTATATCTACTGTATATCTACTAGTATATCTACTGCATATCTACTAGTATATATACTGTATATCTACTAGTATATCTACTGTATATCTACTGCATATCTACTGCATATCTATTGTATAGCTACTGCATATCTACTTTATATCTACTGTATATCTACTAGTATATCTACTGCATATCTACTGTATATCTACTGTATATCTACTGTATATCTCCTGCATATCTACTACATACAGTTGAAGTCGGAAGTTTAAATACAACTTAGACAAATACATTTAAACTCAGTTTTTCACAATTCCTGACATTTAATCCTCGTAACAATTCCCTGTCTTAGGTCAGTTAGGATCACCACTTTATTTTAAGAATGTGAAATGTCAGAATAATAGTAGAGAGAATGATTTATTTCAGCTTTTATTTCTTTCATCACATTCCCAGTGGGTCAGAAGTTAACATACACTCAATTAGTATTTGGTAGCATTGCCTTTAAATTGTTTAACTTGGGTCAAACGTTTCGGGTAGCCTTCCACAAGGTTCCCACAATAAGTTGGGTGAATTTTGGCCCATTCCTCCTGACAGAGCTGGTGTAACTGAGTCAGGTTTGTAGGCCTCCTTGCTCGCACACGCTTTTTCAGTTCTGCCCACAAATTTTCTATAGGATTGAGGTCAGGGCTTTGTGATGGCCACTCCAATACCTTGACTTTGTTGTCCTTAACCCATTTTGCCATAACTTTGGAAGTATAATTGGGGTCATTGTCCATTTGGAAGACCCATTTGCGACCAAGCTTTAACTTCCTGACTGATATCTTGAGATGTTGCTTCAATATATCCACATCATTTTCCTTCCTCATGATGCCATCTATTTTGTGAAATGCACCAGTCCCTCCTGCAGCAAAGCACCCCCACAGCATGATGCTGCCACCCCCGTGCTTCACGGTTGGGATGGTGTTCTTCGGCTTGCAAGCCCACCCCTTTTTCCTCCAAACATAACGATGGTCATTATGGCCAAACATTTCTATTTTTGTTTCATCAGAACAGAGGACATTTCTCCAAAAAGTATGATCTTTGTCCTCATGTGCAGTTGCAAACCGTAGTCTGGCTTTTTAATGGCGGTTTTGGAGCAGTGGCTTCTTCCTTGCTGAGCGGCCTTTCAGGTTATGTCGATATAGGACTCGTTTTACTGTGGATATTGATACTTTTGTACCTGTTTCCTCCAGCATCTTCACAAGGTCATTTGCTGTTGTTCTGTGATTGATTTGCACTTTTCGCACCAAAGTACGTTCATCTCTAGGAGACAGAACGTGTCTCATTCCTGAGCAGTATGACGGCTGCGTGGTCCCATGGTGTTTATACTTGCGTACTATTGTTTGTACAGATGAACGTGGTACCTTCAGGTGTTTGGAAATTGCTCCCAAGGATGAACCAGACTTGTGGAGGTCTACAATTTCTTTTCTAAGGTCTTGGCTGTTTTTCTTTTGATTTTTCCATGATGTCAAGCAAAGAGGCATTGAGTTTGAAGATAGGCCTTGAAATACATCCATCAGGTACACCTCCAATTGACTCAAATGATTGACTCAATTAGCCTATCAGAAGCTTCTAAAGCCATGACATCATTTTCTGGAATTTTCCAAGCTGTTTAAAGGCACAGTCAACTTAGTGTATTTAAACTTCTGACCCACTGGAATTGTGATACAGTGAATTATAAGTGAAATAATCTGTCTGTAAACCATTTTTGGAAAAATTACTTGTGACATGCACAAAGTAGATTTCCTAACCGACTTGCCAAAACTATAGTTTGTTAACAAGAAATGTGTGGAGTGGTTGAAAAACAAGTTT